GGACTAGGAAGCAGCTAAAATTAAAACACCCATGGAAGGAAAATTCCCCTGAGATTTAAGATTGAAGCATTTGTGTGTTATGGCACTGGGAATCAGGAAACACTCTTCCGAATCCTGCAAACAGGAAAGGCAGAAACATTTGGCACATTTGCAGGTCAGTGTCACGTTTTTCCATCTGACCCAAAGAATGTTGGCTATAGTAGGCAGCCATGCAGGTGTGTGGAATGGCTCATGCCCTCAAGACATCCTCAGAAGTGTTCTACAGAAGAAGGGGGTTCAGAGTCAACTTCTCAGAGAAGTACACATCGATTTGAAGAAGACACCACTATTTTGTTTTTATGCCGAAGACTCTACATGCTGTAAATCCTGCAGACTGGCCCAGATCAGATGACCAGCTTGTCTCTTGTGCTGCGATGGAGTGGGAGAAGACCAAGGGCTGAGACATCTTCTCCAAATGAAGAGCTGTTGGACTTCACAGGTCTCCAGGTCAGGGGTGGGGGGAGACTATCTTTTAATGTGCATGAGGAAACCCCCAGTGCCCATCGCTGGTTCCACTGAGAGCTACACTGCTCTAAGTCACCCAAGAAAACACTGGCTTTAAAACCTCCTCAACTGCCACAAGCTGGTGAGGTGAGATGGGCTCCTACTCCCTGAATGAACACCAGCGGCCCAGAGACTTACAAGGACTTACCTCTCTATAGCTCATGAATGAAATGGGACACCCTGGAATTACCTTCCCAGATGGCTGACCAGCACTTCTCTAGGAAACGGATACCTTTTTACTGGATATGAACTAGAAGGGAAACTTTATTTTTTTAAGGCAAAGTAACATAATGGACTGTAGGAAATAATTCCTACTATGGACTTCCTTTTCCCCAAGTAAGGCAGTTTGCATATAATTTCAATCTCAGGTAGCCAGTTCATTCTATTTAGTAAGAGTTTTTGCGGCTACAGAGGCACATATGCTGTAATAAGTACACCACCCTCTGTATGGACTGTCGTAAAATTTATACATAAAATTATGCATTTTACATATAAAATACAGGTGTGTCATATATATAATCACAGCACAGGAACATATATGTAGCATGTGTTTTCCTTCAGGAAAGGAATTCAAGCTCAACAGCAGAGGAGACAAAGTCCAGTTAGCCAAAGGCAAGCGTGATGATGACCCCCAATGGATGAGGCGTCTATAACTAGGGTGGTAATTACCTCAGCCTAATCAGTGTCCCTTAAAAGTCCTGAGACAAGGCCTTCAAGAGAAACACACTGTTGTCAAAGTCTTATTTTCAAATAGAAAAATAAGACAGTGCCTGAAGCTGGCCAGAGGCTGGGGGTAAGGTGGGCGGTGGGAGGAGGGGAGGTGTGGGGACAGGGGGACAGGCAGTAGGCTTTCTGCATACTCCCTGGCTCCAGGCTACTCTGTGGACCATGTTGTGGGGAATGAGGGAGTTGGGCATGATGTCATTGCTACATGCAACATAAATATCAAAAGTCAGAAAGAAACTATACAGAAAGGAACAGAAGTATCTCTTCTAGGGAGAGACAAGGGAAACTAGACTCAGGGCTGCTAGGAACCCATTTTACTCACAATAGATCACTACCAGTGTGCAGTTAAAATAGAGTAGGGGCCGCATTCCAAGGCAGCAAAGAGGGAGAAAAAATAAATCAAAGATACATCAATGATTAGAAGTTAAAGAAAACTCCTTCAAATGCATCAATCTAGACATGACTTGCCCACTAGGAGTCCACCACTTGGCAAACTTTTAGAGGCTGGGGGGAAAATATAAAGCATTAGACCAGGCTTTGTGAAACAGAAAAAAAGACAATGGGGTCCACAGTGAACTTCAAAAGCTTGCTCCTTAGCCAGACAGTTGAATTGGATCGCCTTCCTTTTGGGAGAGCTATGAAGAAATGGAAAGAAATGCAAACGTTAAACTGTTTCATCATGGGCTTTCCATGAATGGCATGTCCACACTCCATGTTTCTACAGATCATACAACACAACACATTGAAGTTGACTAAATGAAAATGAGTGAGGAGGTAAGGACAGGGTAGTCGTAAGGGGAAGAGCTGGGTTAGGGGAGGAGGATCAGAAAGCTGTGGATAAAGGCCAGGGGCTACAGCAGCTCTGTCCTCAAGGAGGCAACGCATGAAGACCTGCGATAACAACTTTGGACCAATGACTGTGTGGATCAGCTGCTCTCAGGCAGAGCACCAGGAAGTGTAAGTCCAATGGCAAGGAAACCCTATTGACAACTGTAATAGGGTCTCATCAAGGTTTCTTGACTATTTAAACCCATCTTCTTCAACTTCCTCACTGGCTTGGACTGCACAGGGAGGTTTATGTTTAATACTTCATTTTACTCTAAGTATCTCTTTTTTTCACACACACATATTCATCATGCCCTTGGTGACATGGCCTCAAAATTCAGAAATACTGTATTTGGACAATACTGATTTTTATCAAATATGAACCTCACAGTCAAGGGTCTATGTGAGCCGCAGAGGACAAGGTAGTGGGAAGATGTAGGGAGAAGGAGTTAAGAACCCTTTCACAGTATGAAAGGAGATCCACACATTTCACTAACTCAACCAACTACAAGGGAAGTTTAGAACACAAAATATTTTTCACCAATCAGGTGTTTTTTTTTTTTCCCTTTAGGATGAAGCTAAGAGTCCACTATTACTTACTTGCCTGGAAAAAAGATTAAAAAAATAATAATAGCCTACAGGTCAATTCCTTGTTTTCTAGGACTTTAAAATGTGCCTGCTGTGTTTTGCTGTGTTGTCCTGCAAGGAACATCCAGCATCAACTCCTCATCCTTTCACTTCTATCCTCAACTGCCCGGATCTGTTCTCCATGCAGCGGTGACCACCTTAACTATCAGCTACTGAGGCAGTATCCTCAGCATGAAGCAGTAGCTTCCCTGCCAGACTCCTCCCATCCCTGGCAAGACCTCTCTTCTTTCTTATTGTGTCTCAGTTTATGCTCACAGGATGATGGTTTGGGTCCATTCACTAGAGTGAAGGACTCAAAGAGCACAGGACTTCTTCTAGTTCACTGTTCCATTGCTGGCACCCAATAATAGCATGTTGCACAGAGAAGACACTAAAACATAGCTGCATGATTACTCAATTTGCAAATCACAGCCTTGCAACTTCAATGATACCACCATGGGATGCACTGCCCTGGAAAACCATTCAGGAACATTCTCCTGCATTCCCCAGTGTCCTCACTGCAAAAGAACTCATCCTCTTGTATTACTTCTCTCACCTTCAAATGCCATACTCCTTCTGACTGAAACAGTCCTGGAGATGCCCAGGCGGCTAGACTGTGCTCTGACATTCACAAGCACTAAGCAGGGAAGGGCAGGCATGATTTGCTGGTGAGAGGGGCCTTTTGAATCACAGAGACTATAAGACCTGGCTGGACAGTAAAGCTTGCTCCATGCCTTGCACTCTGTCAGCTGTCCTTCTTGGCAGGTGTCAGATTCAAGGCATTTGTAGGCCCCTTGAAATCAGAGGCTCTCACACTGAGATATCAACAAGCATTCATCTGGGTGACGTGGCAGAGTTTGGGGAAGTGGATATTGTGTTTTAAGTCAGAGAAGAAGAGGAGAGAAAATGGTGGGGACTAAGCTGCCCTAAACTTGGGAGCCAGCTTGCAAGAATATCCAAAGAAAATTCTCTGGGCCTCTTCAAAGTCCCATGAGAATGCCTTTTTCACACTCCAGAAGAATAATACTGTGTCTCGCTAGTTTTCTGGGCACCCCGTTTGTGAGTGCAGTGAACAGGGCCATGGCTTTAGCTGGCATCTCCTACAATGGTGCTCTTTGGTTTCTGCTTGTGACAACGTATTTTACGGAGCAATCTTTTGTAACTGGGTTCTTACTCATTAGACCCAAGATCACCCATTCTGCCCTTCTCTCCTGCAAGAAAGATGAAGGTATTCCAAGGACAGCCTCAAGAGAGGCCTTTAGGGAAGCATGGAGCCCTGTGTGTCAATTTTGTGTCTGTCTGTAATTTCATCCTCTCCCCACACTTACAAGTTCAGCTTCCTCTTTTTGTAAAATGGGATGAATAATAGCACTTGGCAATTACATATAGTTGACAGGAACACAGCAATGATCATGACAGGGTTTTAAAACAGAAAATAAATAGCTTTTTTTTTCCTTCTGCAGGGTTGAGACCAATTTGTATTGTGCAGTGCAGCACAGCAGCTGCAAGGGGCGCAGTCTTCCCTGGACAAAGCCCATTTTAAGTTATGGTAGCAATAAGGCTCACAACTCAACACATCTTTCTCAAGAGAGTCCCTGGACAAGTTGACATAGAGAGAACTTTAGAGAAGCCGGAAGCTCCTCAGCTCCCTCAAATCAGCTCCACAGAGCAACAGTGCTCGAGGTTGGCACTTAGGGTGATGGCAGCTAGAGCCCATGGATCATAGCAAAGTTCTCTTCGGGAAAGACCAAGGATATCATAAAGAAAAACTCTGGTTTTTGGCACTAAAACTTGCAGGAATCTCAAATGGAAAGTGAGTCAACTCTGATGTTGCAAACTGAGTCCTGAAACTCAGGTTCTCTTATAATCCCAGTATTGCCTTCCTGGAATTTGGCAGCTCTTACCCACCACTTTGCTCAATCATTCCCTCTTCTATGGGCTTGGCTTTGTATCTTTTTAGGCTCTGCACTTGACTGTGTGAGGCTGGACATAGTTACCTATCCTGACCTATATACCTTGGTCTATCTCTTCAGAGTCAACAAGTGGGGATTACATGTTGCTTCACTCCCAGGAGCCAGCAGTGCTGATTTTTCATCCTCTGCTTTCACAAAGTGGGGACAGAATTTATTTCCTATGTCTTTAAACTGCTGGGTGAAACATAAACATAGTCAAGAAAACTCTTGATGTTTAGTGTTTCTCTGATGGGAAAAGGAGAAAGAAAACGAGTTTGGGGAATGAGAGAAGAGTGGGAGGAAAGGGGGGGAAGAAACACTACTTACGCCGTTTGCAGCCGCATTTTTTTATTCTTTTGGGATCTGTGATGTCATCATGACAGGCCTTGCAGTAAAAAAATGCCCTGGGGAAAGAGAATGGAAAAACTGACACGTTTCATAATCCATCCAAACGAAATGAGTACCACATTTCCTCCTCAGTGGTGCCAAATTAATGAAACATGCCAGCACTAATTTCCTTTAATCTTTTGAAAAGTTTAGACATTTGCAGACGGAAATGTTTGTTGCAAGACCATTTATTTCAAACACAGGATTCTGTGATTTGAGTTAGTGCTTCTTTTCATAAACTTCCATTTGAAAAGGCATGGGGAGAAAGGTTGCGGCCGGGACACGCGGTGTCTACTCGCTTGCCTTTCAAGTTGGAGAGCAACCTTCGGGGCTGCTCAGGAGAACGAGTGGGCAATCGGCTCTGGGCCCTCCGTGAGGAAGTTAAAGACAACTCAGCTGTAGGAAATCCCACCGTCTGGTCAAATCCATATTAAAGGGGTCACATAGCGGACATTCTTCCAGCAAATACAAATATTAACCTTGTCACTTTGAAAGCACCTTTTCCTTTTCTCATCAGCCAAAGGCAGACAGTATTGAGGAGGTAGATGGAGAAGCACCAACAAAGGTGTCGAGTCAAGCAGTTGGTTCTTCTGTTAGACACCCTCTGTGATTTCACAGCCCATTTTCTTTCCAATTTGGCTAGCCCAGCTCCCACACTCTCCAACCCTGAGATCATGGAACATCTGAAGTCTTTCTTTATGCTGGGGAGCAAAGCTCACTGACCAGCAGAATGGGGTTAAGCAGAGGTTACAGCAGGAATGGGTGGAAGCAGGTCTAGATGAAGCAATCAATAGGAGAGTCCTTTAATCTGACCCAAACACCAATGTGCAATTAGAAAATGCACTGATTCTGTTGAAAATGACATCATTCAAGCACTGTTCAAAAAGCACAATGTTGAGAAGCATAGCAGGGGAGACCCATGCTCTTTCCATACAGATGGTTTCCGACTTATCCTGGTTCAATTTAGAATTTTTCAGCTTGATGTTGGTGTGAAAGCAGACCTGTGCGAACTACCCTACATTTTACTTGTAGTATGATATTTGATGCATTATGTGAGAAGATCACCATTTAATTATCAAAGAGGTTTTACGTTACCTGAATCTGCTCATCTGCAGGGGACTGCAAGCTTTCTCAGCATGTTCAATTATGCTAAGTTAAGCCATGATGTTCACTTTGTTGGAACTTCAGTTCATGGTATTTTCAAGCTAAGATGGTTTTACTGGGACATAGGCAGTTTCATTGTAAGTCAAAGAATCAATCTGAATTTGTAAGGTGATGAACTTACTAGAACAAACAACCTTACAACTTCTGGATCTGGGGGCTTCTTCCCTACCTCTGATATGAAACTGAATGCCAGAGACAAACATGGTCCTTCAGCGTTTAAAGAAATTAACACAAATCTTGACATTTTGTTTCCTAAGTTCCTTCTGTTTCTCATGCCTTTTGCATTTATGTATGACACAAATGGAAAACCAATATTGAGACTTTCACTTCTGTAATAGTATGGGAAAGTTTGCAGTTAGACTCTCTGAGACTTGTGTCATCATTTCTAAGTTGAAGTGCTTTCATAATCCAACCAAAGTCATCTCATTCTACAGCTTGGCCAGCCCCAGGACTTTTAAATGCACATGCAATGCTTTTACTTTACTACTTTTTAAGAAGAATCTATATGAAAGGCAAAGAGAGAAGGGGAAGAAAGAGAGAGAGAATGCCATCTTTTCATCTGCTGGAGTACTCCCCAAACAGTCATAATGACCAGAGCTGTGCAAAGCTGAAGCCAGGCTCCAAGAACTTCATTAGGACCTCCCATGTGGGTGGAGGGGCCAAGTACTTGGGTTGTCTTCTGCTGCTCTCCCAGGTGCATCAGCAAGGAGCTGGATAAGAAGTGGAGTAGCTGGAACAGGAACGGGTGCCCACATAGGATGCTGGTGTCACAGGTGGCAGTTTAACTCATTACGCCACGACACAGGCCCCTCAATACTGCTTCTACTCTAGTAATCCCTCCTCTAGTGCTTCAAGTGTCAACTACAATTATTTCTTCAGAAAAGAACAGGCAGCTATTTGTCCTAGGAGCTAAGCATGGTTTCAGTGGATGGTGATCTGCCCTGAAATGGGAAAGACAGGAAGAGAGAAAGCAAGCACCCTGGTTGGGACAGATGACCTTGCTTCCAGTGCTTTTCTTTCCCACTTAATGCTTCTACACATAACAGCAATAGAGACCACAAAGACAGCTCCTAACAGTGAGAGAGCACAGAGACCAAGTACTGTTCTAAGTGCTTTATAAGCACAAATAGGAAACTGAAACACAGAGAGATCAAATGACCTGCCTAAAGCAGCACAGCTAAGAGTGGTGGAGCTAAGATTCAAATCTACACTGTTGCACCAGAATCCAAGGTCTTAAACGTTTCTGTACCGTAGAGGTAAAAGTGATGACATGACGTGAGCAGACAAGGACTGCCAAAAGGGTAAGAATAAGTTCTTTATGAGTTAGAGCCGAATCGCTTTTCAAATTTACTTTTTTTTTTAACTGACAAAAACTATATGGGGTGGGGGTGGGGAGAGTCATCTGATGTGACCTTTAAGACACTGTGTAGAGTTCTACTGCATGCTGGAGTGTACAGGTTTGAGTCTCAGCTCTGGTCCCGATTCCATTTTCCTGCTACTGAGACAGCAGGGGCCATCCCAAGTGCTAGGTCCCTGTCAGTACACGGGGAGACCTAGACTGAGCTCCTAGCACCTGACTTTGACCTGGTCCAGGCCCAGCTGTCACAGGCCTTTTGAGACGCAAACTAGTAGAGGGGGAGCTTTCTTTGTTCCTTTCTCTTTTTTGCTACTTTTCAAATAATACTTGAAAAATATGAAGTTGCATCTGCATGTGTATAATATGGCATGATGTTTTGAAATTTGCAAACATAATGGAATAGCTAAATTGGTTTAATTGACATTTACAATACCTTATATACTTACACTTGGGGGGATATGTACACTTAAATTTTCTCTCACAGCAATGTTCAAGTATATAATACAATGTTATTAGCAATCGCTCCCATGATGTACTATGGACCTCTTGAACTTGCTGCGTTTGCCTAATTTAAATCTTCTTTTTTTAAAAAAAAAAAGATTTATTTTTATTGGAAAGACAGATTTACAGAGAGAAGGAAAGACAGAAAGGAAGATCTTCTACCTGCTGGTTCACTCCCTAAGTGGCCTCAATGGCTGGAGCTGAGCCAATCCGAAGCCTAGAGCCAGAAGCTTTTTGAAGGTCTCCTATGTGGGTACAATTCACACACACACGTGTGACTGTGGTTACCAGGAGGGCCTTTTCACATCCTCACTTCCCACTCACGTGACTGTGGAGGGGAAGCTGGGGGGGTGGGTTTCTCACATGTGACTGGATGCCAGGGGGTCTTCTCCATTCTCACTTTACACACGTGACTGTGGGTGCTATGGGCCTTTTCATAGCCCAGGGACTGCTGCTTTCTTCCGGTGCCTCCTGGCCACTCTCCAGCACAACTCCCTTTACCTTCCTCTCCACCTTCTCTCTGGTTCACCCCGTTCTCTCCACAATAGTCTGCAGGTGGTAAGGGCTTTGTCTGCAGCATCGTCAAGAAGACCAGCTCTGTGGCCTGCAAGGCTGGCCTTCAGGTTGTCCTTGTCTTATGATTCCTGTGTGTTTGGTCAATGCAGGAACACAGCCAGAGAACAATAGATGGTGGGAAGAGACGAGTTCACGTTTGTTCCTTGACTCCCTGACAGGTCACAAAATGACAGAAGCAACACAACACCTGTCTACTCACAGGCAGCTTGTGCAAGTTTCCCCTCCTTTATGATAACTCCTCCTTTCAGGTTCTGACAGCCCTGCTTCTCCACATTCCTGCACATCCGGGCTGAGAGTGACTCCCTTCTGCTGCTAGGGCTGGGGTGCCTGACCTCCCATGTTCGTTTTCCTTATCTTACAGACAGCCTCTTCACAAAACTTTCCTTTCCCAATTGAATCTTGTCATCTGTTTCTAGTCTGGACCTTCATGGACACAGTGCCCAAATCTACATTCCTAACCTTGACCCTTCCCTAGAAACAGAAATTTGGATCCCACTGTCTTTATGACATTTCTAAGGGAATATTTAGGACTTATCTCCTGCATGCCAGAGCCCAAAGTCCTTCACGACTCACCACCACCCTACCCCACCAGAACATGGCTTCTGCTGTTTTTCCCCATTCCAGTAATATGAAGCCATTATCCACCAAATTTTTTAGGTCCAAATTTTTACCCTCAACTCCTCTTTTGGTCTCATTTCATCTATCTAGTCATCATATATATTATATATGATAAACACAGAAATTCTGAATGAGACCAGATTCCTTCTGCCAGTCATCTCAAGATGATGGTTCATCTCTCCTAAACTATGCAACAGTCTGTTAACCACCTCTCCTCTTCCATTACAGTCCAGTCTCCATGATCCTACAATGAAACCACCTGACTCCCAAATTAAAACCATCAGTAACTTCCATTTTAAAACAAATCCAAACTCTTTCCACAATGCCACAGGAACCAATCTCTGCCTTTTTCTCCATTCTCATCTCTGGTCACACATCAACTCCCCTTCTCTACTCTCCTGGTCACACATTCTTTTGTGAGATTGCTGAAAAGAATTTCTGCCCCTCATCAATCTCTCTGCTTACAGCAGCCTTCACCTACATGCGCCATCTGAATCAGTGATTCAGTTGCATTACGTCTTTTACCATGAAATTTAAAAAACTATGTGAATCTCGGGCCCGGCGCGGTGGCGCAAGTGGTTAAAGGTCCTCGCCTTGCACGCCCGGGATCCCATATGGGCGCCGGTTCTAATCCCGGCAGCCCTGCTTCCCTTCCAGCTCCCTGCCTGTGGCCTGGGAAAGCAGTCGAGGACGGCCCAAAGCTTTGGGACCCTGCACCCGCGTGGGAGACCCGGAAGAGGCTCCTGGCTTCGGATCGGCATAGTATCGGCCCGTTGCGCTCACTTGGGGAGTGAATCATCGGATGGAAGATCTTCCTCTCTGTCTCTCCTCTCTGTATATCCGCCTTTCCAATAAAAAAATAATAAAAATAAATCTTTAAAAAAAAAAAAAACTATGTGAATCTCGTTTCCCCATTTCACAACACCTGTGATCAGGAGCTTCTCACCATGGTTCACCAGTGCTTGTCGGGCACCTAGTAGGGAGCATGCTAAAGAGTGAATTGCAGACATTGAATGAATGAATGAATGAATATGATGATGCTGTCCAATAAAGCTGTATCTGCCAATATTTCAGAGGAAACAAGCACTAACTATTTTCATATGAAAGCCTATGACTTCTCACATTAGAAACTATTTTTTTTTAAACTGTGACTGAACTGAGTCAACCTCAACCCAGCATTTCTTGACTTCTTTGGTATAGACTACATCCCAAGGTTACTCAGAAAAGGAAATTATTGGGAGTAGCCCTGCGGTGCAGGGAGCTAAGCTGCTACCTGCAACACTGGCATCTTTCTAGAGCACTGGCTTGAGGCTCTGCTCCGTTGCTGACCAACAGCCATAATAATGTCCCTGCTAATGTGCAACTCAAGTCCTCAGAACCCTGCTGCCCATGTGGGAGACCCAAATGAAGCTCTAAGCTCCTGCTCCGTGTCTGGGATGGCCCTGGCCATTGCAGTCATTTGAGGAGTGAACCGACCCTATATTTCTGCTCTTTCCATCACTCCACATATCAAATAAGTAAACCTTAAAAAAATAAAAACAAATGAAAGGGAGACTAATTCTTTGTAAGGTGTAGAGAGCAAGTTCCCAAATGCCCATCCCAAAGTACCTTTTTCAAGACTGGCTTTGGATGGTTCCAGTTCTCTTTTTCTAAAGTGCTGCATCTCAAGGGTTTTTATGAGCTTCGATTCATTAACTCCCTTTGTTGCTTTTTGCAGCAGAGGACACAAACTCAATACCAGATCATCATAATCTACTTTTCCATTTTTTACAAAACTTATTTAGTTTCATTCAAATCTCCAATTTCTGTGGTTTTCTGCAGTCTTCATCTATTTGAAATCCCTTAACTGACAGCATTTGCTCTGACACATCACACACCATGGAAAATTACAGGCTGGGGTCGGAGCTGATTGTGTCAGCATGTATTTGTGAATACCATAAAGCACTGAAATGAGACATACTGCACTCCCTAATATAGGAGGTAATTTGTTTTTTGGACTGCTTGGTATTTGTGACATTCATTAGTGAGAGATGCAATAGGAAATAGAATTACACAAATGGGAGCTTCATGTTATATTTGCTATCTGGGAGGCACACATGATGTATGGGGCTGCTATGCTCCCCGGCCTCCTATACTTGCCACTGAGATGCTGCTTTGAGCTTATGTAGCTCACAGTTGAGCTGAGTACACAACCTTGATTTCCAAAAGACATGGTAAGGGGGAGAAATATTCATCCCCTCTTCTCCTCACTTTAGATGAACCCCATTCTCAGGATATTTGCAAAGAAGAGTGAAGCCTTTCCAGGCACTGGGTAGGAAGTGTTCCTTTCCTGCCATCAAATATGGCACCTTCCCTCCAACTTACAAAGATAAACTTAAACTAGAGAGCTCAGTTTTTGTTTCTGTTCTTTATCCTCCACTCCATATTTTCATTTTCCTGAAAGCTTTTGCATCCAGCAGGCTGGTTTACTTCACTGGGAGAGGGAAGAAAAAGCCTAAGTGTCCATGGTCAAGCATCTTCATTCTATTAAAGTCAAACTCATTCTCTAGAAAACAAGAAAGACCCTGGAAACAGACTTCCTGGATTCAGATTCTGGCTTTGGGCAAGTCAGTTAACTATTCTGTGCCTCAGATTCTCTCTTCTACATAAAGTGGAAATTAGCCATGGTACTTCTTGCCTAGGAAGTCATGGAGATGACATGAGCTCATAAATGCAGAGAACCTATCACCTGGACTAGTGCTAGGCATAGTCAACCTTCCAGGCAACAGCATGAGAAGAACCGTAGATCTTAGAAGGAAAACTCAGTTCTAATCTGAGCTTTACCACTTACTTACATGCTACATGATCACAAAGAATCAGGTTACTTCTGGTTTGTGGATGAGAAGACCAAAGTTCTGACTATTGAGCAAGGTTATTTTGAGGAATAATAACAAGGAATGTAACACACCTATCACAAGCCTATCTCCAAGGATATACAGCAAATGAAGATGACAGGCTCACATAAAACATCATTCACAACTCACAATTCAGTTAAAATGTTTCACATAGAGTCAGCTCTAACAAGGATCCAAATTGTTCTACCATGAACTCTAGGATTTCCTAGGCTGCTTAAACAGGCTTAAGGATATTGGAAAAAAATGGCATGAAACACTGGGAGCAAATGAAAGCCTGGAGTATTCCTACAGGAACGTCACAGTTGAAGTTGTCACCTATCAGGCCCATAAAAACATCATCAAGAAGATATTTCACCTGAAGTGACTCCAAACCTTTTGAAATTCCATGTGGCATTTACACTGGAAAATTGATTGCCCTTAAGTAAATTTGCCCAGCTAATATTAAGTAAGGGCTGCCAGACAAAGAACCAGATCTTGTTCTGGGGCATCAGGAATCAAAAAGGGAGGGGATGGGGCAGGCAGATATTTTGCTTGCCAGTTAAGAAACCAACTAGGATACCCACGGCTCATATCTGAGTACCTAGGCTTAAGTCCTGACTCCACTCTGAACTCCAAATTCTTTCTAATGTAGATGCTGGGAGACAGTGTCGATGACTCATGTGGTTAGATTTCTGCCCATGTCAGAGATCTGAATTCAATTCCCAGGTCTCAGACTCTGCCTGGCCCAGCTTTGGCAGCTGTTGGCATTTGGGGTTTAAACCAACAAATTAAAGTTTTCTATACCTCCCTCTTTTCTTCTGTCCATCTTTATCTATCTCTAATAATTTTTTTCTAGATTAAGAATAAGCATAGGGTCTGGCACAATAGCATAGTGGTTAAAGTCCTTGCCTTGCACATCCCAGGATCCCATATGGTCACCAGTTCTAATCCCAGCTGCTCCACTCCCCATCCAGCTTCCTGCTTGTGGCCTGGGATAGCAGTTGAGGATGGCCCAAAGCCTTGGGACCCTGTACCCGTGTAGGAGACCCAGAAGAAGCTCCTGGCTCCTGGCTTCGGATTGGCTCAGCTCCAGCCACTGTGGCCACTTGGGGAGTGAATCATCGGATGGAAGATCTTCCTCTCTGTCTCTCCTCCTTTCTGTATATCTGACTTTCCAATAAAAATAAATAAACCTTAAAAAAAAAAAAAGAATAAGCATAACCTTAAGCAGTCAATCAACTTGCCCCTCTAGGCCTCAAGGCTCCCTCTGTACAATGTAGGGGTAGGTAACAAGTGCCCCAGTTCTCACATCGTATTATTATTCTAACTCACAGTGTGGAACTCAGTATTGAGTGGGAGTCCACAGAGGCACTGAATGACACAATCACTGCTCAAACTATGCTACATGATGCCATGGATACATGAATGTTTTAGATGTACATGAAATCATACCTGCAAGACAACTTTAGTTAATGTACTTCCATTTGTGACCCCCATCTTCAAGTTCATCCTCCAAGGTTATTTACAAAGAAAATATTTGGTGGTGAGAAATATAAAAAAAAAAAATAATCTCCATATCTAGATCTCAAAATGACCTTTTCAAGACTGAAACTGGTGGTTTCAATTCTTTTTCTAAAACATGGCATCTGAAAGATTCTATTACCTAGAACTCATCAATGCATTCAGAGTCATAGCTCTGTGCACGAGGAAGCACACCCACTTCAGTATGTCACAGTGTCCACTGCTGGGTCAGAAAGGCAGATGAAAATAGACTCTTACCTTTTAACTTCTTTGGCATCACTTGCGATGAAAAATCCTAAAGTGCCTTCTTGGATCTTAAGATGATTTCCAGGGTTAATTAATATACTGCTCAACAAACAAAAACAAACACAGAAGACACATATGTGAGGTCATGTCCTGAATAAAACCTGGAAGGTTCCAGTCCATTGCTATTTCTATAGGGGGCCCACTAGTCTGCCAGCTTCCCCTAAAGTTTTTGTCTCTCCTGCTGGACGATAGCCTCCACATCTCATTAAATAATGCTATTAATAAGTTCTACTGCTTTCTTTCCCAGGTCAGCTCACTCCAGGTTGAGATAAGAAATCTAAGTTTTAGGGTCTAGATTTCTACGAAGGGCCAGTATAGGGTACCATCAAGGGCACCTACCTTGGAGCAAATCCCCTGTGTATCCTTTCTGAAAGTGCTTCGGATGGTGAATGAGGATGCGCTATTGGTCTAGTAAAGCTCTTGCTACATCAATTTTCCATTAGAAGACAGAGTGCTAGTGGAACCCCTATATATAGCCAGAAGCATACATGTATACACATCACACATTAGCATGGGAAATGGTACACAACACCTATAACCACTTTAGAAGCAAACCAAACATATTGATACCATTGATATAGGAACACAGAAGTACAGACTGCATAGAGTCTATGCAGGAAGAACTGGATATACTTAAATAGCAACAAATAACGTATATATTAAGGTATATTTAATGATTCCAATGTGCTACTGATCAAACTGTATGGCGTAGTTGAATAAGATGCAAGTCTAGCACGCCCTAACTGGGGAAAACAGTAGTCTGAAAACAAATGCAATTCATCCATAAAATGAATGAATGAATGAATGAATGAATGAATGAATGAATATTGCCCTGTAGGGAAGTGTGGACCTAAATATACACTGTCCTGTTTCAAAACAGTATAAATAGATTAGCTGACCAAGTTCTGTTTGGACTGACAGAAGAGAGAAACGTATCCTAATCTAATAAATGAGTGGAACAAACACATTTAATCTTCTGCAGACCAAAAGCAGAACACAAGTATGCCGTACTCCGAGGCTGGGATGAGGTTATGGATGGAACAAGCCCTGAAATTGGGGACTCTGGTTCAAGCAGCAGACAACAGAAGCATTCTTTGATTTGAAACTTGGGTTTAAGACAGTAAATATTTGCAATCAGTCTAGAAGGAGGCTTCAGCTGTCCAAACAATGAAAATGGAAGAAGGCCACTAACATATAACCTGTTATTGCCAGTTATGCTGCTTTGGGAAAGTGCTATGGACAACCTAGCAGTATGGCTAGAGCAAAACAGGAAAAGGATCCAGGTGAGCCATGGTTCTGTTGAGAGAGCTCAGGCCACACCATTACTACAACATAATACCCTGTGGTCACATGAACATCCATTATCTGTGACAAGACCTGACAGAAGGAAACAGCCTGTATCTTCACTTTAACATTAAATAATCACAACAGTCTATGAGGATTTGATTGTTCTGGCCCTGAACTTCATTCAGCAGTGAAATTCCATCCAGAATACAATAAGAGCACACCTCATACAGGTGCCTTCTAATTACCCATCACAGCCTTTTCATGAGGGCATCACAAGCCCTCTGGCCTCATAACCTCATATGGGAAAGGGCATTCATGGTTCCTTCTTCAGGCCCAGCTAAAGATGGCAGTTTAGGAAGGTAGAACTCTGGGTTTTGCACATGTTCAAATTTCCTTTCTCTCCTCTACTATCATAAATTGCTTCCAAATTCTGGCACTGCCACTTACTAGCCCTCTGATTGCGGGTGAGCTACAAAACCTCTGAGAACTCAAATTTGTTCCCTACATCTCGGGGATAATGACAGTATCCTTTCTCCAGAGAACTAAGTGATATCATGGGCAGACGGATCACTGTATATTGGTCATTATTAGCTTCATTATTTAAATTTATTGTTTCTTATTTTTTACAAATAGCCCAAATGATATTTCCTTTTCAATGAGCCAAATGGCAATTTTCTTTAGGTCACAACACGGAATAGAACACATGGCTTTTTGTCAAAAACACTGCCTGTTCCTAACCTGAAATTTCGGATTTAAACCTTCCAAGATGAATGATCTAGATCATCCATCACATATTGCATGTACTTCTGGAGCCTGCAGGAATGAGCCTCTAAAGTTGGAAAACTCTCCAGTTTGATATGTACTTATCCCAGAATGCAAATCTTCTAAGCAGGGGGCGGGGGGGGGCAGAGTAATAACTTGAACAGCATAAATCCAAGAGGAGAAATTTGAGATATTTGACCCATATCATCTTTAGTGACATGCACGCATTTTAAAACAAGCCCCATGTAGAACCCTGTTTCCCTTTTCTAGTTGTGTACCTCATTAATCATATCAACTGATCAAATCCAGTATCAATGATAGGTTTCTTGTCATTTCTTCTGTCGGTTGTCTATCACAAACATGGGTTTGCTCTAGAGTAAAAATCGAGCATTGGCACTCAGGAGAATGGCAGCTAAGGTCATCTTTCATAATGCTTGGACCTCCTTCACTAGGGCAGAGGGCAAAGAATGCAAGTGCTGATGTAGGGCACAGTTGTGTTCAAACTGCAAGCTGGCCATTCAAAGTGGCTCAACATTTAGGCACAAAATTGGGCCACTCCACTCTGCATCCTGCTACGGGCAATGTGGATGCAGCTGAGCCTTGCTCTCCTTATCTGTCAAATGAGGCAAATAATCACTCTCTTACAGTGTGTCCAAGACACTGAGTGACTGCTGTGAATGGTCGCTGATGGTCGCTGTTGATGGTGAGCAGGTGGTTACAAAACTAAATGGAAGGTAAATCTAATAGCACCATAGCTCGTTCATTTTGTCCTCCCTGCTGATTCGCTGTCCAGAAGGCACCATCCTAATATTGGAAAAATCTTTTCCCCAAGAGCAGTACTGGTGTATTTTATTCCCATGCCCCATCTGAAGATCGGCTCAGTTAGTCCACACAGAGGAACACCCCTTGCTCCTTTACTGTCATGGCGGACACCCCCACTGGCCTCACTGATTCCAAAATACCCTCTTTACTCCCCCAGGATACAGGTGAGAGGGTTTAAATCATCTCTATGGGAAGTGGCAGGGGAGCATTGGTATTGGGACAAAGCTAGGAATGCAAAATACGGGCTCAACCCCAGATAATGACAAAAGAAAAGAAAGCCTGATGTATAAAGATACACGCTATTTTGGATTTGGCTCGCAGAAATAAGGTTTGAGGAAGTAATACATGCTCTTGATCCTACCAGATGACAGCACAGAACACTCCCTAATGATGGCACAAAGTTTATAAGACATTTTGAGGAGACAGATTCATTTTTAACCATTCAGACATTAACTCTTCTATCCACATTCCCAGAGTTTACAATGTTAATCCTCCTCCTCCTGAAAACATGAAAAAAAGATAAGCATTCTAGATAGAAAGAATTTTATTTTGCTTTTTCCTACAAAATACAACTACCCCTAGAATTTGTTAAAGCCCTCTGAATGAGAATACATAAAATATCCCCAAGGATCTTTGATCTCTGTGGGGGGTCATCCTATGTCAAGTCTGTTTTGTTTCTGTGATTGCTGAAAGACTGCCTTGCTGTGTGCTACTTGATTTAGAGTGAGTACAACTTTGTCTAATTCACTAGCTTATCAGAGATAAGTCAAAATGTGTCATGTGAAAAACCAAGAGAGTCTCTAAGAAAAAAGCCCATATATCCATTAGCAGAATTCCAATGAGGACATCTTTTTGGCTGGGGTAGACTTTCCCTCGTTTATGGAACATATGAATTATCTTTTTTCTTCTGTGACCTTGCTGATTTCAATGGAAAACATGTAGTGACAGCCAAAAGTATCAGAGCAGAATGGTCCTTTTTCCCTTTCTCTTTTTCTCTCATACTACTTCTGCGTTTCGTTAATTCACTGACTATACTGGGCAATGGCAACATATTTTCAGGAAAGAACCTATAATTGAGTAGGGAGGTGAAAAACATGATTGTGTTCTATTTATTTTAGGGTTTTTCAAACTGGCAATCTTAAAGTCCTGTACGCAATAAGCTCTTCTTAACTATTTGTTGAATGAATAAAGGACATAAATCATCGGTCTTGGTTCCAAAGTTTTCTTTTTCTCCCTCAAGTAAAGGGAAAGGTAGTCACTGCTCTTCTTGCAAAAATGAAACTGTAATTCTCATCAGTCATGCTGATCAAAGTAATGACCACATCCCTCCTAGCAGGTTGACCTGCAAGTTAACGATCTCCCAGGGGCACTACACAGAAACATGCAAACACATGAGCAATAAGTCACTTAGGGAGTTGGAATAATGAATTTTAATACTGAAAGCATAACTCCCTTAGAACTGAAAGATGGACTCTAAAACATGAAACACATCTACATGGAACTGGCTGGCAGGGCTCAGTTCCAACACAAAGAGTTCTGATCATGTCTCTCTGTGAGAGGCAAGGCATTTGTGGGGTAGCTCCCGCTGTACTGTGGTCAGGTTGGAGGACTGAAGCCTGGTAGGGAGGAAAAAATGATGCTTTCCCTTTCTGTATCACTTGTGCATAACAACTGGGGAACACTGAGTGACCTTCCTTCAATCATTGCAAATTTCACCTGTTAGCTATTTGGAGAGATTACCAATGATTGGTAGTTTGATTGAAACATGCTGTTTGAAAGGAAACAACATCCACGATGGTATATATGATAAAGAGTATATGAACTGCTCCAATCTCTCTTCCAGTTTTGGTAGGTGTCATGTACCATTGCCCAGACTGTTAAAGAAATAGCATGACTCATACAAGGATATAATTTCTTCCTCGTAACATGGTAATTATATTTGTTTCCAGCAAGCTAATGGGACTTCATTAACTAGAATGGCAATTAAGAACCGTCTAGGACTACAGATGAACCATGCCACTGGGAAGAGGCCTCTTCAATTATGCCCATTTGTAGACATTTGCTATCAGCAGGGATTTTGAATCAACTGTGTCCCCTTTTGGGGATTATAACCACCCTGCAGTTTGTGGGCTGTGTGGGAACACCCCAAATCCTAAACCTTATTATCTGCCTGGGACTTCTCCTTTTTTTCTAGGCTTTAAAGCAGATAATGCTGGAGTCCTGCACATCTAGACACACACACTTTCAGTTGAGGGTATTGGTAGGAGAACCAGTTGTGCGTTACATGCTTTAAGATACATAAGCCCAGATATCTTACAAAGAGACAGCATCAGAAAGGTTGCTCCCAGTTGGTCTGATTCAAATGATCACCCTCACTGTGGCCGGGCAATGACTTGCTTAGTCTCATTCCACCTCATCAACTGTAGAGATGGTATTATAAAACACATCTTGTACATATAAAAAACATTAGCCACTTGGCATTTGGGAAAACTAGTTGATCTCAGAAGGTAAAAGTTGGATATTTGGTGCTGGGAGCAACCCATGTCACTCTCTGGTACACTTTACGACACATCATGCCTACATCACAACATGCCTTCAACCACAAGGTAGAGGGACTCAAAGGGTCACAAGCCACCAGCAGAGGTGCAACCACTGTGGACCTTTGAAGATGCAAAGTGTTGCAGTAACTTCTCGCAGTTGGATCATTTCAATAATGCCAAACTGACAGGAAGCCACCTCTTTTATACACATCTACTCAAGGAATCACAGATCTGACTTTAGAAAGAGTTTCAGACAAACACACACACACACACACACACACACACACACAGAGCTATAAATACAAACATGTGACAGTGATTACACTCACGGGGGGAAAAAAAGCAACTTTTAAAGAACAAGCAATCATCTCGATAGTATGTTTTCAACAATACTGTCTTAGAGAACATATTTTTCAAAATACTATGCTGGAAATACTAACCCAAAAAGTTAAAATTTTAAAAGCCACTGATGATGGTTTAGTCATGCTTCATGCAACACAGAACAGCAGCAACACAGGGGAGTGTCACGTGATGAAAGTTGAGATACTTTATGTGAAGAAATATGCTCAAACACACTAGAGAAGTCATGCGTTTGTCCCCAGTACGCAGGACTCATTCAGCAAACCAAGTGTGTTCACCTGGCAATTTAGCAGCAATGCTTTCAAGCCTGCACTCAGAACTGCCCAAGAAATAAAATACTCCAAGTGGCATCAGAAAATTTAAGTGATACAAAACAAAACAAAACAAGAAACCACAGAAGTGTAAGAGCTTAGTCTGTTTTGTAGCTAAAAGGATGTGAGCTCTGTTTAACACAGGGAGGAAGACATCAGTGGGAATGTGGGTATGGGATGCAGACATGATGGCGCCAGTGTTGGGGGTGACACCAAGACACAGCAGGACAGTACAGCAACAGACACAGAGGGCTGCAGAGACGCGTCCTCCTTTTCAGCTTGGATAGTGCTGGTTCCCAAGAAGGGTAACAAAAACCAGAAATGTGCCTTTCCCCTTCCCTCTTTTTGAGATTTCCTGCAAAGAAGTTAGTGCGTCATCCTAGAAAATCCACAAATCAAACAAGAACAGCAGTAAACTATGTTCAAGTTTTATATACTCTAGTTGGAGGGAAGTGTATATATATACAGAAACATATATATATACATATATACACGTATATTATATATATATTATATATATGCTACACAAGGGGGTGAGATTATATATAGGTAGATATATAATCTCTCTCTTCTTGAGTTCTTGGCAAATGGTTAGTCCTGTGGTTAGGAGTCAAGATAGAGGATGGTGGCAGGAAGGAAAGTTAACGGCGAATGCATACCGCTTTCGGCTTCTGCAAAACGACAAGAAAAGAATTGAAAATCAAACAACTTGGTAATAAACTGGCTGACACCACAAGGAGAGAAGGACTAAAAACCTTTGTTTCAAATTGCTGGACGGAGGCACATGAAAACAAGGTTTTCAGCAAAGCATGAAAACAATACCATGGGGCAACCCAGCAGCAGAGGAGGCGGTTAAAAACACAGGTCAAAGGCAAGAGGGTCCCTCAGGGGAAGGTGATGGGCAAAGGGAGAAGACGTTTTTCAATGAAGGAAGCTACTAAAACCATTGTCTCAGAAAGGATCGTGTAGCTGTGGTATCTTTCACAATTCTTCTGTAAGGGAATCTCTATTTTCTAATGGGCACGACCTGCATTCCCAAATATACCTTTTTCCAAGTGAATCAGTGCTTTCTTCCACACTGAGACCAAGCCACTTGGGAGGATAAAAACTGGAAACTGCACACAGCAAGCCCAAAACCAACCAAAAAGCCAAACAAGTTCTTTTGGCCCTGTTTTGGAAAAAAAAAAATTCTCCACACTCCCTATGTCGGCTTTGTTGAAAACATCTCATATTTGGGACTCAATTAAAGGGTTCAGCATTTTAAAAAGGGAGGGTGCATTTGTGTTCAAGGAGAGCTCTGAGTTCATTTTCTCAGAATGATCACAGCAGCTTGACATTGAGGCATGAACCGTCACTCTCCTGAAATGGGAGTTCAGGTTAAGGTGCAGTCTCCTGCCTGGAAATGATTCCAGAATGGTTGAAAAACGTGAGTTAGCATCAGCCACATCTCCCTTGTGACACTTTTTGAAGAAATTCACAAAAGTGGTCAAGAACACCGAGCTACAGAAAGATTTACTGACATGGCAACACAAAGATTATCATTTGCAAAAAAAATCAGAATACACCATTTCCCTACGTAGCTGCAAGTGGGAATTGGCACAAATGTAGGCAGAGTCATCCCAGAACTTTCCACCATATCCGTGGAACGGCAAATAGCCAGGACTCACTCACTGTTAGCATCTTGCAAATAATATTCTTCACTTTGCCAACACAGAAAAAGAAAAATGTATATTTGTGTACATATTTGTTCACGGCCAAGGTCACATTCTCTTTGGGGCCACCAAATCTACCATTTCCTTTTCCTTTTGGTGGATTTGGATTTTCAGAGTAGCTGATAAACATGTGATCAGATTGCCTGGGTGAGCAATCTGATCGGGTAGTTAAGGTAACATTGGATTGACTTGTTTCCAATCCAGTGTTGTTGTGGTCGGTTAGAGAAACAGGTTGTATATTTGGAAGTCTCGTTTGATTGAGTCATTCATCCAGATCATGAAAAACCCTCAAACAATGATAGCAGGAACTTTAACATCTTGCCATGCCCTGTACCCAATTACTAAAGCATGCGCAGGAGGCTGTCTGCCCTCAGTACCTGCAACACCTGTGGGAAACAAATAATCCACCATAGCAGAAATAAACCAGGGATGTCATTTCAGAGAACAAAAGCCCAAGCCTCTCTCAAGTAGCTCCTTTCCTTCCAAAACTATCGATAAAAACTGGGGAGCAAAAATCATTCTTTGTTTTTTTTAAGATAACACACACAGGACATCCTCAACAACATTCCCCCTTACCATGGTGCCTCCTTCTTCCAGAGGTGAACTCCTATATTGACTGGGCTGTTATCTATTTCCGCCAGACCCAGTCTCCCATCAGTGTGATTTGCACATAATTAAGTGCAAAATAAATAAATAAAGCGAGCTCCTGCCTCTGAGCCCTACTCTCCTGGCTCATTTGCATGCAGTTGATATTCTGCCACCTGCATTTCAGCTACACAGGGAGAAGCACATATGGCACACATTAGGCAGCATGCAATTTGGCTATCAGGAGAAGTGGTGTCTTCCATCATGACTCTGTCTTGGACTCTGGAAAGAAGGCCAGGGTCCACCGGCTTTTTGTTCACCACAGTAATAATGGCTTTCTGTATGAGGATTGTCCCTGTTTTACACTTAGAAGGTGCCCCATCCCTGTCTTCCTGGGACACCTTTTAAGAAGCCTAGGGGGCCTTGAACCATCAGGTCAGGCTAGGACAGAAGCTACACCGTCGGGCAGAACATGTCTTCTAGGGTGAGGTAGGTGTTTAGCATCCTGTTCCAAGCCAATCAAGAGTGTGCCAGAAACACTGAACGTTCTCACTCTTACACTTACACACAGGAGCTGGACTCTGGGTGGCACAAACTCACCGGCTCTCTCGGTTGGCAGACTTGTACTCAATGGCTATCATAAGGAGCTTGAGCTTCACAAAACACAGCCTGCAACAAGAGAGTAAGGTCACCCAGTCAGTGTTTCCAGACGAGCAGAGTCACATCACAAACCCTCTCCCGATCTCTCAGTGCCTTAATGTTGTCATTCTCCAAGGGGAGCCTCATTCCATGGGGGCTGTGCCAAAGGGAGGGTCTGGACAACCCCTCACCAGCTGCCCCATTACACCTGAACTCTCGCATGTGATTAGGCGCTAGATGTTGAGAGTACAAATTGTATTCAGACTTGGATGTCTAGACACAGACCCTGCCCTCTTTCTGAGCAGGGATCTGTGCCTGGGGACCTACACTGGGCCAGAATCATTAGTTACTTGCTCAGGCAATAAAATGTTGGCTACAGCAGGAGGAAGGGAGTTGGAGTGGCTGGACCTGCTATTTGGATTCCACTTTGGTCTTTTGTATAAATGGCTCATACTGCTGTTGCGAGCAGACCCCTGTGTGTGTGTGGAATGATGGTAATAATACTTAGTCCGCGTAAGTGCCTGGCGCATGACTATGGCTTCGTCATTTCTGGTTCTAGCCAAGCTGTCTGACCTCACCTGCCCAGTGCTCCTGACCATGGGCCACACTGATCTCAGAGGCTAGCTTCTGCTGCCTCCAATCGCTCCTCAGAGCCTGCTCTCCCTAAATGCCTTCCCCACTCCTCCCAGCCTGTCCTCCTGGGTCATTTCATATCTACTCCAGTTCACCTCCTGTCTGACACTGTGACCTCAAAACTAACCAGCACCTTGCCTCTCACTACATCCTTGAACTCTTAGTTGCTTCTCTGGTGGCTGTGCTTGCTTCCTATTGCTTCATGTGACAGTACCTTTTCTCCTCCTTTGCAGCAACATCTTTGAGTTACAGTGGGGTTTAGATTCTACCAAAATCACAGAAAGTACACTTAAATATTTATGCCTAAGGATTTTCAGGGTTGAGTTATTTATACAGAGTCAGAAAATTGAAAACAGCCTAAATGTCCAACACCAAAGCTATGGTTAAATAAAGTACAATGTAATATGGGGTTAGATAATATTCAAGATGCTGTTTCCAAAAACACTTGAAGATATTAGGCCGACACATAATGTTATATAAAGACATAAACATATAATTTTAGTTAGATGAAAACAGATTTATATACTCACAAAGATAAATGTTCACATAAACAAGAAAGAATTACATATGTTATATACTACGGCTTTATCTAATGGGCATGATCACATGTGCCTTAAGGACTTTTTCAATAACAAGTCTTGGTTAACTTACAGATTGAAAACTGAGCTGAAGTCACTTAGTTCCAGCATTGTAAATGGGATGAGGTACTGGGCCAAGGGGTAGAGCCTTTTTGATAATGCTGTTTAATCCCCAGATTGTTCCCAAGATATCAGCACCCCAGTTGTTAAGATGTCTACTGAGATCTCCATTTTACAGATGGTATTACTAAGCAAGCAAGCCTATTTAACTTGCTTATGGTGCTTCTAGCTAATATCTAGCAGATTACACATCATCTTCTCCAGTCAAGACTATTTTGTATTGGGAGAGATAGGCAAACGTAACTGTGGAAAAAGTAGGTCTCCACCATGCAGAAACAAAGTGAGCCACAAGGCAAAGAGTGACTGGAAAGATGTATTTATCTGCAATGGTCCATGAGGACCATTTAGAAGATGCAGAAAGCACCAGGGCAAGAAGAGCAGCAGCAGGCAGTGAGAAGATGGGAGGCAGGAGCTCTTGAGGGAGCGGACATAGCAAGTGTAAATCTGCTGAGGTGGGAAAGAGTTCCACAATGCCAGCCAAGCTGGCACTGAGTGAGCGAAGTTGAGAATAGCAGCGAGTCAGAGAGTGTAGTAGGAGAAGCAAGATCATGAAGGCTCTGCTTGCCACAGCCAGGAGCCTGCAGTTTATTCCACGCAGAATGGGAGAGCTTCACTTGGGTTAAAATACAGAATAACACAATCAGACACATTGGATATGGAGGTGTGCCACTTGCCAGGAAGGCGCTGCAGCAAGTCTCTCCTTCTCCCAGGGGAAGGGGACTAAGTGTCTATTCCTCTACGTGCATCTGCATTGTCTTCCACTGAGAGAATCCTAAAGACCACTCAGGCTTATTAGGGTTCATCCCATGATTTGTAGGGTTTTCTGGCTGCTGCCAGCAGATGTTAGCGATCTGAGCTTGTGCTGAATTTGCAACTGGCTGAAATACTGACATGCAGATCCACCTGTGGCTAGGAAAATGTCCTTCTTTCTTTATGCACCATACAGTCCAGCTAATGCCCATTCTTCATGTGACTGTTACTTCAGGAACTTATTTTTCTTATCAGATAGCTTATGTGATGTTTACTGAGCCAAATCATCAGATTATTCAATAGTGTTCTAATATAAATAGTAGCTAAATGTCAATAACTCAAGGAGAATGCTGGTCTTCAGTTAGCATGGACAGTAACAATGGCAACAGCATTGATGTCTTGGGAACAATGATAATCCAGTCCAGAACTCTGGTATTTCATGGAACCCAAGACCTTCTGTGTTTGTTTAAGGATGTAGTCCTACCATAAGAAGGGAAGAAACAGTTCATAATAAAGGTGAATTATACCCTCCTGGCTACTCGCATGTCACTTATCAACTCAATGTAAGAAAAAAGGAAATTCAAGTGACCACGTACACATGCCTTCTTTATCTTTATGGCATGGGGAGTCTCCTCCAACTTTTTTCTCTTTTAAAATGTTTTTAATGTATATTAAGGAGAACGTATCTCACATATTTATTTGAAATTAATGAAGCTCATTTTCATCTTGACACACAAGAGTTAGACATTTATGGGGTATAGTGTGACACTTCGGACCCTCCCTTCTCCCAGTTTTAAATCTGTGCCTTTCAACTACATAGCTAAGATGATTCAGAACTACCTTAAAGAGGTTTCATTTTTAAAAAATTTCTTTGGCCCAAACCAAGTTGTTGCTCATGGACCATGGGTGAGATGGAAGAAGAGAGGGACAGAAGGGTAAAAGTAATGACTGTGTTCCACCTCAGAAGTGTGATGCTCCATGTCAGGCCCTTCAAGACAGGTGGATCCTGCCCTTCTCACACAGACAGCCAACAGAGATCCAAAGGACAGTAGGCAACTGGCTCAAGATCAAATGACTTTTTTTTCGTAGAAAAGGCCACTGTGAAAATCAAGTCTTAGTACCGTGTGCTGCACTGAGGGAATGAAGAACTTACTGCTTACAGGTCCAAATGCAGATACAGTCTCTGGTCTCTGCATTGGTTTTAAAAATTGGATATAAATATCAACAGCTGATGTCATAGAAAAGCTGGCTGCTCATCTTGCCTTGAAAATCACACTAGACCCACCTCTCACATGGCTAAAAGGAACTGGAGCTGCAGGTACCCCAGTGTGTTCTCCACTGGTGGTACTCTGACTGATGGGACGGGCTTCATCAGCACCACCATGGGATGTCTCAGATTTCCCCAATCTTCACTGCCCTCAGCCAACTCTGGCCTCCTACAGGCCCCTAAGCCCTTAACCTCCACTTTAATGGTGATCCTCTGGATACTGGCAAAACACGAATCTTGAAGAAGAAGAAGAAGAAGAAGAAGAAAAAACACTGTCTACACTGGAAGCAGAAATATGGCTCCCCTGTGAGAGTTCAAATCATTCTTTCTTGGTCCCCTTCCCCAGGAGCTGGTCAATGTCAGCATCCTGGCGTTAAGGTTGTTGCTGGGCTGAGATGGAGGCAGGATGGTGGGGTGGCGGTGTGGGGTGGGGGGAAGGAAGGAGCTCTGATCCAGTGGAGAAGATAAACCCAGGGAGTTTACCAGGGACCCTGAGTGTCAGACACTTGTTTATGGGTCACTCTTCCTTCTAACCTCCTTTCATTAGCATGGGATGCAAACTTCAGCTCACCTGGCATTTTGCAAAGGGAAAAGAGTGAGCTTTCAAGAAAGGCTGAATAAATGAACTGGGGAGTAAGTTTTCAAGGAATTTTAGAACAACCTAGACAGAGAGGCTTGGAGGTGAGTTGAGGGGATTCTGAAATGAGATTCTTTTTAAACTTGTTCCATTTGGTAGAACAGGACAGATTGGAAAACAAGGATGTCAGAGTAACAGCATGCCCTGACATATATAACTAGGCAAAGGACAATTCCAGTTTTGAGATGCAGGCAGCAATGCAGGATCTTGTAGAGATCCTGCTATAAGGATCACAAGTCCCAAATCATGCCTTCAGAGTACCCAGAACTGATATTTTATGGCTAAGTATTTACATGTGTCATTCAACACTTATGGGCATCCAATGTTTCCTGTCATTCTTAGGCTTGTGCCAGGCAGTAGTGGTTCATTTACATGTGATCAGAGTGGGGTTAGGATGAAACAAGGACAAGAAAGAAATAAGAAAGCCTTCATAACAGGCTAAAGCCATACAAATGGTATAGGTCGGCAGGCACTTGATTCTTGGTTCCTAAAATAAAATAGCCCAATATGTCCAACGCAGGAAGTTGTCGCTGGTTATAAAAATAATTACAGGGGAATAGAAATTATTCCTTTTTTTTCTTTAAGAAAAAAAAATCCCACTTGTCACAAAAAGGTCTTAAACCAGCAATCTGCAATAAAACTGTTGTAATAACAAGTTAGATTGCTTTCCTGATAATTATTAAGTAGAAGCCTACCACATTTGACAATGACATTATACAAAGCTTTTTTTTTTTAAGATTTTACTGCCAGCATCATCTGTTAACTACAATAGTTTCAACCCAGATGTTCCTGAACAAAGGCTCTTAAGAATTAGAGTCCAACTGTTTCTACCTACCCAGAGGGAAATAAATTGTTCTTGCCATTAAATCAGCCCCCTTGCCTGAAAAGATTACTTGCGGGTGTGAATTAAGCATGGAAACCTGTCATACAGTTTGCACTTTCTAATGTGTTTAGGAAAAGTGAGCAAAGGCAAGGTGGCTACTGCTGAAGATGACTTGCCCCACGAGCAAGTGGATAAAGAGCAAAAGTGGATGCCCAGGCTCTC